TGAGGATCGGAGATCCAGAGCATTTCAGAGGTCTGATAGGCAGGCAGTGAAGTGTATTATATAAATATCTTGGCTGACAGAATTTGGCCAAATGAAATTTAGCATTGTCATAGCAACTTTGTTTATGTGACAATCTAATTTAAGCAGATTTTGAAAAATGAATATTTTAACCAATGGTTTTTGAATTTTGTATAATACTAATAATAAGAGCAGTAGTTATCAGCAATGGATACTTAACTTGTACCAGGTACCTTGCTAGATTTTACAGGTATTTTCATGTTTAATTCTCACAGTCAGCCTATGAGATAGGCAGCATTGTTTTCTTTCCTTTATAGATCAGGAAACTGGTAGTTTGAGATGTTAGGCTGTTTGCTTAGTTACACAAGCAATTAATTATTAGCTAATTAATAGTAGAAGGAGATTTGAACCCTGGCCAGCCCAAACCTCTTAGCCACTGTATAGTACCATTTCCTGGTATCAAGGAACCTGTTTTGTTTTATTAATTTTTTTCCTTTTACTACAAAAGTAACACTTGTTAACTCTAGAAAAATTGAAACACAGGGATTAACAGAAAACTATGCAAAATACAGTTCCTTCTGTTTAGAAACGAAGTCTGTTGACATATTTGTTCATATCTTTTTCTTTGGGGGGGGCACATTGATATATAATTTTTTCTATAAAAAATGACATTTGATAAATCTTTTAAAACCAGTTGTTAGACATTTATTCTTTTTCAATGTATTTTGTTGGGTGTTTAGCTTCTTGCAACGTTTTGATACTACATACAGCTTGCAATAAACATAATTAGCTGAAGATGATATATGGATAAAGGAAAATGAAACATGACTGAAAAACAAAAATTAACAATGATGAGCAGTAATGCAGGAGATGCATAACGATTGTAAAATTCACTCACTCTATTTTGTATTTGGATCACCAGTACAATGAAAATCAATGACTGAGGAATGTTTGCTTTTGAATAGACCATTATGTTGAACAGCTTTCTTTTGGTTAAAGTTGAATTTTCAACAAAATCACCTAGAGCTGGTGCAGAAACCAAAATAGGACCCCAGCCCCTGGGCAAAGTCCCAGGAAGGCACCTGATCCCTAAAATGTAAATGCAAGTAGTGATTCTGCTGCTGAGGAGCTCACTTCAGGGGTTGGTGTCCGACTCTGTGTGACCCCATGGACTGCAGCACGCCAGGCCTCCTTGTCCATCACCATCTCCTGGAGCTTACCCAAACTCGTGTCCATTGAGTCCGTGATGGCATCCCACCATCTCATCCTCTGTTGTCCCCTTCTCCTGCCTTCAATCTTTCCCAGCATCAGGGTCTTTTCCGATGAGTTGGCTCTTTGCATCAGGTGGCCAAGGTACTGGAGCTTCAGCTTCAGCATCAGTGCTTCCAATGAATATTCAGGACTGATTTCCTTTAGGATGGGCTGGTTTGATCTCCTTGCAGTCCAAGGGACTCTCAAGAGTCTTCTCCAACACCACAGTTCAAAATCATCAATTCTTCGGTGCTCAGCTTTCCTTAGAGTCCAATTCTCACATCCATACATGACTACTATAAAAGCCATAGCACTAACTATATGGACCTTTGTCAGCAAAGTAATGTCTCTGCTTTTTAATGTGCTGTTTAAAAAGCCAGAGAATTCTAGAAAAACATCTGCTTCATTGACTATGCTAAAGCCTTTGACTCTGTGGATCACAACAAACTGGACAATTCTTAAAGAGATGGGAATACCAGACCATCTTATCTGCTTCCTGAGAAACCTCAGGAGGTATGCAGGTCAAGAAGCAACAGTTAGAGCTGGACTTGGGACAACCGACTGTTTCCAAACTGGGAAAGGAGTACATCATGGTTGTATGTGGTCACCCTGCTCTTCAGGGGAATAAGCCACAAACTCCATAACCAGAAACCGTAGCTGAAATAAAGAGAAGTAAATTTCAGGATCAGAATATTACAGCAGGGGCTTCCCTTGTGGCTCAGTGGTAAAGAATCCACATGCTGATGTTGGAGACACGGGTTTGATCCCTGGTCCGGGAAGATGCCACGGGCTGCTGGAGCAGCTAAGCCTGTGTGCCACAGCTAAGGAGCCTGTGCTCCCGAGCCTGGGGGCTGCAGCTACTGGAGCCACTGCAGTGAGAGGCCCGGGTGCCAAATTAGAGGAAAGTCTGCGAAGCAGCAAAGACCCACATAGCCAGAAAAAAAAAGAATGTTAAAATAGTTATCAAAGCTAGAGGCCATGGCCGGTTAATGACAACTGGGAGTTGATGCTCAGTCCCCGAGTGTTGGGTCAGGCTCTTTAAACCCTTCTTGCCAAAGGGCAGGAGATTGGGCCTGGGATGAGCCTGAAAGTGAAAGTCACTCAGTCGTGTCCGAGACTTTGCGACCCCAAGAACTATACAGTCCATGGAATTCTCCAGGCCAGAGTACTGAAGTGGGTAGCTTTCTCGATTTCTCCTTCTCCAGGGGATCTTCCCAACCCAGGGATTGGACTCAGGTCTCCCGCGTTGCAGGTGAATTCTTTACCAGCTGAGCCACAAGGGAAGCCCAAGAATACTGGAGTGGATAGCCTATCCTTTCTCCACCGGATCTTCCCAACCCAGGAATCGAACCGGGGTCTCCTGCATTGCAGGCGGATTCTTTACCAACTGAACTATCAGGGGGATGAGCCTACGGGTGGGGAAAAACACCCCAAGAGAGCTTGAGAGAGCTCCAGGGATTGGAAACCCAGCAGGTTCTGACAGCCAGAGGTTTTGAAGAAGGAGAATGATGTAATGAAAGGTTATTGAGTGATTAAGTCAACTACGAGTAAGCAAGGAAGCAGTTTAAGAGAATGCTTCTTAAATGGCAAATGTAAAGGAGGAGGTTCTTGTTTTGAGTATTGGTAGGAATTATATGTAAAAAGATATTTAAACATCTCCATTAAATAATTAGATTGGAGACATTCCTGTTGTGACATTCCTCTTCTTATCACAAGTTTGGAGTACAGATGGAATGTGTAGTTTTGATCCTTGGAGCTTGTAATGCTGCCATTACTTTCATTAAATTGAGGCTTTAACTGGTATATTAAAATATTTTTTATTACAGAACCCCTAAATAGGTATGCTGTGTCTTATGATTGTAGTTTAAGTTAATGCTATCACATTTTAAAATTAAAAATTATTATCTTCTCTTGGTACTTTGAAGGTCATCATAAAATTAATGACAAATATACTGGAAAGACATTTCAATTAACTTTCTTGGATATTGATCAGATAAGCACTAAGATTTATAATTATTTTCTGAAATCTTCATTAGATGAGTCCTTTGTTGCTTTGGGTGACTGTTTTAGTAAGTACTTTCCAAACCCTGGAAAGTGTTACTTCTGAGTTAATTTAAAGAGAAATCTTCATTTTGCTGAGTTTCCACATTGGTTTTTTGTTTAACGATTGTACAGAAATTTACTGTGTTCTTAATTAGAAATAACTTTTTTTGTGTTTCTGGAGGTATTAAATTCATGAACTTCCAAGAATCTCTAAATGTTATAGAAACTTGCATTTAATTAACTGCAGCTAATGGTTAAGATGTGCTTCATTGCTTTGAACTTTTGAATCAGTCCTCCCTTGCACAGTATTTGATAAATGTGATCATAATTTCTGTCTCATCCATGGAATTTTCTAATATTTATTATTTTCAAAATTGCAAAGAAGTCCTTGTTGTAAGAAGAAACTGAAGTCGTATTTGAAATGACTCCTCCGTCTCCCAGCCTCACAGTGATAACCGTGTAACTATCTGATACCTACTTCCCAGTGTTCCCCAGTGTTCCGGAGTTCTGCTCCGTGTACATGTGTGCATTCATTACACACCCCTCTTCCTCCTCTCTCCCCTCTCCCCCCCACCCCGACCCCGCGCCAGCGTAGACTCTGCGGTACTGTCCGAGGAGACAAGGCTTTGTTCTGTGCTGGACTTCACTCCCGGGCGAACTCACTGTCCTTGTTCTTTCCTTCACTTGGTCACCTTGAAAGTTCAGTAAATTCAGTCTATGCTCTACTTCTCTTTATCCTTAGCAGTCATACCAGGAGCCCTCCGAGAACAAATCCTCAACTCTGCAAAAGACAGCCGTTCTGAGTGTTTCACCTAAGGCCAGCCGGCTAAGCAGCCCGGTTCTGGCTTCCCTGGTGACTGGCCCCAGGCCCAGAGGGGCTTTGCTGATTCCAAGTATGAAGTTCTCTTGGGTTTCCCTAAGTTATTCTTTGTAGCATTCCTCTTCTCGGTCTATTATGGGTTGAGATTTCTTCTGCATTAGCAGCCCTGGCTGATGTCTGTCTCCTTGAGTTTTCTGAAAGATGGTGATATGTTGATGGTAGAACTTGTTTCTTTCTTCTGTTGCTTTGGTGGGATTTAAGTACACGTGATTACCTGGGTACACGACGCTTTGAGCCTCCCAGGTGCCTAGCCTTTCTTCTGTTTTTGGAAATCCTTTCAGGGTTCATTTGCAGTTTCTCTGGTTTGTGTTATAACTTGACAGTTTTTTCCTTCTTTTAATTTTGCATTTTATATTCATCATAATTAAATCATTGATACCTCATTGCTCTCTTTTTGGGTTCAGAAATGACATCATTGCTTAACAGATTTATTTTCTACTGTATTTAGGGACCTCCACAAGGTGTTACTGCATAAAGCCAATTAACAGTGCAAAATTTATTTTTAGAAATTTAAATAATTGTCCTTATTTCATTTGTATTTCATTCTATTTCACTTGTTTCATTCATAAACATCACTATCTTTAATATATATTTATATTTTATTTGCCAGGTGACTAAATATTGTCAGTTTCCTTTTTTCAGTGTTCAGATTAAAAAAAAGATTTAAAAAAGTGATAGTAACTTTACATGAGCACATTGGACTCTATATTTTAAAATGATTTCTTATGTCAGAAATGACTTAGCATTTTTTTTTTATTAGTGAGATACATTGATCCTACAACAGCATATATTTTTACTTTTGTCTTAGGAAGGAGAAAACATCTTCTATTTGGCAGTTGACGATATAGAAACAGATACGGAGCTGCTGATTGGCTGCCTGGACAGCGACATGGAGGCTGATGAGGAAGAACAGCAAATGACGACAGGGATCAGTGAAGAGGAAGGTAAAATTTCTAAAGGACAGTCAACAGCTAGCAGAAAAGGTATTAACTCTAACTGGTGGGCCAGGAGAATGCAAGTTGTAGGAGAAATAAAGTTTGAAATGTGCTTGAATTATTAAGGCATTGTAATAGTGTGTTCTCAAAATAAAGTTAGTTTTTGTCAGAATTCTCAGAGGGTATCCAGCCATGAGCCTGTCTTCCAGCAGGGAGGGAATGGTGGGCTGGAGGGTGTGATGGATGTGTTCTGCAGGCTGCCAGCGTCCGTGGCGGCTCCCTGCTCTCACTGGTCGGGGACTAGTAATGGGGATTTTTGTCCTCTAGCCCTGACTCTGTTGTTCACCCGTGTTGTAACCGGGCTGGTCACTGACTCTGAGGCTTTACTTTCTCTTCTGCACGTGGGGAACGGCGAGTGCAGAGGTCCTGTCGGGCCCTGTGGGAGTTTTCCTGGGCCGCACTCTTGTTTAAGACCTTTGAGAATCTGGAGCATCTGGAAATGTCCCTCCGTCTGGTTGTAGAGACCCACAGCGCTGCGGGGTTGCACTAGCAGGGTCACTGGAAACGCACAGTGACTGGGGATGGACTTGCTTCTGTCAGCCCCGCGGTCTAGGAGATGCATGTCACTTGCTTGTCCTCTGCCAGTGGGTGACCACTTGTCATCAGGGCTTGTTTCTCTCATTTGTGTTTTACTCCTGATCGGTCGCAAGGGAATTGTGAAGGGTAGAGTAGGTGTTCACGTTTTCTAAAAGGCTGATCTTTTCTATAGAGTATTTTTCCTTTTGCTCAACAAAACCACTTCAGAAGTGACATGGGTTTCTTTAGTCACCGTGGTATTGATGTCTTTTATGTGAATTTTCTGTTTTAATTGTATGTCATTGACTGAGAAAGTTTGAGTGTTCTCAGTATTGCCAGATTATGCCTCTGTTTAATTTGCCTGGAATATTTAAAAGGAAGACGAGGACAGGCTATCAGTTTTGTCTTTCTAATTTGCGTTATGTTATTGGGATATCAGATTTGGGGTGATGGGAATTATTTCTGTATAATTTTGTGTTCTCTTTATTTTTGTATTTATTTTCAACGCTGCCCCAAGGGTATGGTATTACTGTGTCCACCGTTTTACCTTAAAAATAAGTCTCCTACTTATTACCACCATGACTTATATAATAAAGTAACAGTTTCTTTTATAAAAAAGAATCAATGGAAACTTAAATAGATCTTTAGAATTTAGTTTTGTTTATAAAAGCAAAACATAAAATCCCCCAAACAAACAAAAGAACCCCCCAAAATAAATCTAGCAAAGACAAACAGCCAGCAAAGAAACAAAGAATCCACTCAAATGTCAATCAGTGGAGAGTTTGGTTAAATAAGTAAGTTATGGTGCCTTAAAGTTTAAAAAAAAATTGACTTAAGAAAATACTAAATGGAAAAAACAGCTATGTATGAAACTACATAAAAAGTATGATCATAAAGGTAGCTATTGTTAGACTCTATAAAACACTAATTCACAAAAGATAAGTCAGTCATGGAAAGAGATTACAATAGTTGTCTCTTCATTATGGGGTTATTGGTGACTTTTATTCCTTCATATTTTCTGCATTTTATCTAAATCTAATTGTATTTGATAATCAGGAGGCATATGTAAGTTAAATAGCGCACTTTGAAGTGTGGTATAGCCATGGCAGTCCGCATGGGACTGCTGGCTGGAGAGACAGTGGGGCCTCACTCCTCGAGCTGGGATGAGTGCTGTTGTTACGACCCTGGTCTTTTTTCACTTACATGTGAGATTCCCCTTGGTAATTCAGCATAGTTCGCCTTGGTTGGGCTTCTCTCTCCTTGCAGCTAAAAGTGAACTCAAGATGACCTGTTTCAGGGAAGACTTTGGCTTTCCAGTTCAACGTTTGTAATAACTCTTTGATGTGAAAAAGGTTAATGTTACAGGGTAAATTGAAAGTTGATTTTGAATTGGTGAAACACAAGTTAAACGGTTTTAAAAAAAAGTTCTAGTAACACTTTCCATTATTTTTCATGGGCAGCCTATTCATGCTTATAGCGATAATAAAAATTTATTAAGCTGGTACCATTGGCACAGTTAATTTTGATTTTAAAATGAGGGCAAAGCTGAGCAGTTCTTGGCTCTTCATTTTTGTCTCATAATTCTGCTTGCTTGTAAATATGCAGATCGCTTTGGCTGTAAAGAGGACTATGCCTGTCCCCAGTGTGAATCGAGTTTTACCAGTGAGGAAATTCTTGCCGAGCATCTTCAGACATTGCACCAGAAACCCACAGAGGAGAAAGAATATAAGTGCAAGAGCTGTGGGAAGAAATTCCCAGTTAAGCAGGCTTTGCAAAGACAGTGCGTACATTAAAGATAATCTCTGAAGTTATAAGCTGACACTTTAACTCATTTATTTGGTTTGTCTTATAGTTAGTTTCTAACCTGTGTGCCTGTGTGATGGTGTGTGTATAGAAATTAAGCATTCTTTATTGTCATTGTCATTAACTTTTCTTACGTTGATTTTTCAAACATTCTGTTTATGAAGTTTAACAACTTGCCATTAAATATTAAGCTCATTGGTGTACTAATCTGAAATCTGATATGCATAATTTAGCTAGTGCTTTGAGGTGGCAGATCGCGTTTCAGTGATCTGCATGTGATACTCCCTCTGAAATCAGGTAAAAAAAACAGTTAACGAAATGGAGAGAGTTTGGAGTATAAGGAATACAGGGACATTTTGGAAAGCACTGTTTATTTCATAGCAGTGTTGGAGAAATCACTTTAAAGATGAATATGTACAAGATATAAGGATGGAATGAATTAAATGGTCCCACCCATTGCTCGGCACCCTGTATTATTTTTACTATTTATATTAACAGCATATAAATTTATCCTTTTATTTAAGTATTTTACAGTATTGTAAGTTACTAAAAATGAGAAAGTGTATACATATATTTATAAACTTTTATTTTTAACAGAATGTCACCTTGCATATGAGCAAGAAATCTTTAACATAGGCTTAATGTTTCATTTTTTATTTATTCAAATAAAATTTTGAAACATGCTGTATTTCATATTAAAATAATTTTCATATATGTATCCACTTTTGCTTATGATATTTGAGATTAAAAATTTCTATTCAAAACTTGAAAAATTTTAACTTTTATAATGGCAGGAGATTATACATTTGGAAATTCTCATATACTTTTAAACAAGCAAAGACTATATACTTTTTAATGAATATATTTTAAAACTGCATTCTAGTCAGTTTTTATTGAATTTATGTTATATATACTACATCGAACGTACTTTTGCTGAGCTGAGTCTTACTGCTAGGTGCTACTAAAAAGTTTAAAGGGCAAAAGACAGAATAGAAACAGAGATCATGAATGTGACTTTATTCGAAGTAGAGGTATTTTCATACGTTTTTGTCCTAGACTTCCAGTTTTTTTGTTTGTTTTTCTATTTCCCCTCAGTGTTCTTCAGTGCTCAGCGAAAAGCAGTCTGAAGGATTCCTCACGAAGTTTTCAGTGCTCTGTTTGCAATTCTTCCTTCAGCTCAGCATCGAGGTTTTGTGCTTGAGTTATCAGATGGCTGTTACATGATTGTGGGTCATTATTGGCATGCATGCTTTCATGCTTCTTAGTGATTTAGTATCATATGGCTACAGAATCTCAGTGCTTTCCTTCCTCCCTGCCTAGGTAATGCTTATAATGACCCTGAAGCTCTCCTGTGAGCATGCATTACAAAAGCCAGCCAGGATGCTAGAAATGAATAGGTGTCTTCACCATTTCTTCTCCCTGTTCCCCTGTCCTGCTTGTCTTGCAGTTTTGAACAGCACCAGGAGATGTGCCAGGGAGATGCCAGGTTTGTGTGTAAGGCGGACAGCTGTGGGAAGAGGCTGAAGAGCAAGGAAGCCCTGAGGAGACACCAGGAGAATGTTCACACCGGTGAGGAGTCATCAGAAGACCATGTTTAAAGGGGCCTCCTCTCCCCAGGCTGCTGCGGTCTGTTCTTAATTCTCACTCTCAAGGACAGAGCTTGCTTTTCCATTGTATTTCACACAGATGTAGATCTCTGGAAGTGGAATTTTTTTCTTTCACTGAACATTATTTCTTTTTAAGTTGATTTCAGTGATAGTCATCATTTTTCCCATTTCTGAATTAATCATAACTGGAAACCTAAGCTAGGATCTGTTTGTGCTTGGTAGCCAGGTGTATTAAGAATTAATATTTTAAGTAGTAATTTTAGTGCTTCAGCATGTGAAATTTCTCTTATAGTAGATACATTTAAAAACTACATATTTAAAAACTTCTAACTGATGGCTCTTCTGCCTTAATATTTTCACAGTAAAATTTCAATTTTTAAAAAACTCTTAAATTTCTCCTGTATTTGAGAAAATTACTGGCTATGTTTTGACATGCAAATTGAATATATTTGGATTTATAAAGCAGGTACAATTTGAATTTTTTCTAATGGCCAGCTAAACAATAGCTAAACAGTTAGAAGCTTTGTTACTTAGGTTTCATCTGCCTAGCACACAGTAAATGCATTTTGGTTTAGGGGTTGAATCTGTTGCACTAAACTGGACAGATTAATACTTTCAGAGTTAATGATTTGTTTTCTCAGTGTCTTTTCCTTAAAGGAGACTGAGGTTCACAGCACTTCTCATATCTTTCTGTACTGATATTTTTCTCAGGTGATTACTATTACTGTTGGCTTAAGGGTGGAAATATCTTTCTGGATAGGAGGAAAGTGTTATTTCTTTTCTTCTATCCTGTTTCTTCTCACATGCAGGGGAAAAGAATAGTTGGAACTCAGCTTCTGTTTCCTATATTTATTCAGTGTCCAAAAAGTGTCTCCTTTAAAGCTAGTTGGGAAAGCTTGTGTGAGCATGACTCCTGGGTCCAACCTCACATCACCGGTTTGGGCTGACTCTGAGTACCAGCCATGTGTGAAAGCTCAGGGTGGCAGGAGGTATGGCCTTGTGAAATACAGCTTCAGAAGGATGTACAGCACTTAGACTTCACAGTGTCCTGACCCCTCTCTCTCCTTTTGAATGATACATGATGTAGAGAAGGTGGCATTTTTCTGAATTCTTTATACTTGGGCCTTTTCTATGTTTGCAAAAGGCAGTCATAACTTTCTGATAGACCTGTCTCTTCATAGTTTTTGCCTTTTAATAGCTGTTATGGTTTAAAATGCTGTTCTTAATTTCCCCCATCTTTGTCTGCAGTGTATTATAACAAATCTTTTATGTCATTTTTAAAGTTAACTTTGCTGAACTAAGTGAAAAACCAGATGCACACTAAAACTCTGGAAACTTACATTCTTGTTATTCGGCACGTGGTCTTCAGACTGTGCTATAAGCATAATTTCTTTAAGACTTCTTGTAGTTGGTCTTGGATATTAAAATATTACTGATTCTGAAAACTCATGGTGATTTTGTAGGAGTGAATTTATAAAGGGAAGTTTTTTATTTTTCTATGTTGTGGATTCTATAAAATATGAAACTTCCTGTATTTCGGCCAAAGGCCACATGCATACTTTTTGCTGGAATTGGTACACAGGCTGCCTCTCATTCATAGCCTCTCTCTTGCTTCTTCTCTTTTGTCTGTGAACTACATGGACATTTGGGGAAAGAATATTCCATATTTAGAGTAATGAAAAAAGCAGTGTTTGTACATATGGTTGTAGAGGCTGTTACTCTAGAAAGACAAAGGTATTCAAGGAAAGAGAAGGTCATGCAGCTTTACCACTGACAAGGACAAATGTTTCTTGTTAGGTGATATGAATTTAAGATACTGAGAAGAGAGAAGCTGAATTTTTAAATATGAATCACATTTTTCCATAGCAACTGTAACATATGGTGGGTAGTTTCTCAGACCAGCTCCTGGAAGCACACTAACCCACATTGTGCTGAAACTCACAATACTTAAGTAACTGTGTATTCAGTATTGTTGAATTAGTTTTTCTTGCATCTCCCACATTTGTTAGTAATGTGTTCCTGCTGTTTTTGAAAGCTGAATTGGAAAGTGAAATACCAGACTTACCTGAATATAGTAAACTAAAGTGGCATAAAGTCTGGTTGTAGCTTCATAGTTGCTCTTGTCCTTGATCCTGGGGAAACTTGTAGGGTGGTGTCCTTTCCAGTTACTCAAGAGGAAGCAGTGAGGGTGTTGATCCCCTTAACCCACCTTAACCATCTTAGCCATTTTTTCTCTTTTGATTTGATTCAGTGGTTGATGACCACGAGATTTTGATTTTACAGGAGATAACATTTACTTACATTCTCAGGCAAACAGTCATAAACTCTCCCTGTTTTTCTTCTGAGGACTAGGATTCTGGTTCTGGGGTAAAGACTAGAGGCCATGAGGAGGAGAGGAAAGGTTGAAGAGGAGGGATGGTATGTTCCCTCTGACTCCAGTGGCAGAGCGGTGGCAGCAGTGTTGTGAAAGGTGGGGTGGGTGATCGTGGAAATCTCACTTCTATCACGCTTCTCTCCCTCAAGCCTGACCTCGCTGGTGGGGAAGAAAAAAGGTCTAAACTCAGAGAGCAGCTGGTTTAAGGGGTGAGCAGGGACAGCAGAGGACTGTGGGGTTGTTGTGCTGTTCAGATACTCAGTTACGGCCCTCTTTGCGACCCCATGGACTGCAGCAGGCCAGGCTCCCCTGCTTCCACGGTCTCCAGGAGTTTGCTCGAACTCAAGTCCAGTGAGTCGGTGATGCTGTTCAGCCATCTCATCCTCTGTTGTCTCCTTCTCCTCCTGCCTTCAATCTTTCCCAGCATCTGCTGGGGTCCAGCCTCGGCAGGAGCCAGGGGTACCCTCAGGGTGAACGGCGTCGGCGAGAGAGAGACACACCAGACTGGGGGTGTTTGCAGGGTCTGGCCATGCTTTATTTTTTACCATAGCTTTTATACCCTAAGTTAGTACATTTCTAAGGGGAAGATAGTTTAACATTACATCAGCTTGTCCTTCATGAAACCAGGGTGTTTTCTGCATACTTCTCTGTTTATGAGGGTCTTGTACATTATCTTCTGGCCTTGGGGCCTATTGACATTTTATGCAAGTCAGGTGAATGTAAACCTATTTTTCATTTCCGTGGTGATCTTAACAGAAAAGTTGCAGTCTCTTAGGGCAACAGTACAGCATGTCACAACATAGTAGAAGTATAACCTTGTTAACACAAAGGTCAATTCTTTTGCAGAAGTTTGTCAGTTGAATTTATCTAAAAGGTTTATCCCATACAGACTCTGTAGCTTCGGTGAGGCAGCCTCTGCCTAGCACTCCTAGCTAACAGTTAACAACCATCTCATTGTTACCACACTAGGGCTAAGCTCTTATTTTTCTAGATCTATAACTATATTAACAATGGTTTCCACTGCACAACCTTAGCACATTAAGAGCAAAAATACAGCAAGCAAACGTTAACCCAATAACCACTTTTAGAATAATTTTTCTTGTGTTTTCTAATAGGGCTTTCTCACCCCCCCGAAGGGCTCTGTCTATTAGGGCCTTTATATGATCAGGTTCTTTATGCTATTTTATGATTAGGGTATTATGAGCAGTCATGCATATTAGTACCAAGGGCATAAACGCATTTGCTAAACAAACTAGAATGCCAGCAAAGGAGTTTAAATTAAAACACTCCTTTCATCCTGGATAATCTCATAAGATACCGCCACCCAGGAGATGTACTGATTAAAGTTCCAAGTTGATTCTTATTTGGAAAGAGATTGGGGAAGGCCTTCTGCCTATGTCACAGAAATTAGGGAGTAGTCTATTAAAGCAAGCATCAGAAAGACAGATATCATCTTTAAGGTGAGTGCCGGGGGCAGCTTTTCGAAATCCCTAGAGTCCTGATCTGCCTTGCTTGTCAGTTTCCTCCTCAGGACCTTGTCATGGGTGGGATCGCGTGTGCTGGCTCCTGGCAAGCATCAGGGTCTTTTCCAGTGAGTCAGACCTTGGCATCAGGTGGGCAAAGTATTGGAGCTTCAGCTTCAGCATCAATCCTTCAGATGAATAGTCTGGGTTGATTTACTTTAGGATGGACTGGTTTGATCTCCTTGCAGTCCAAGGGACTCTCAAGAATCTAATCCAACACCACAGTTCAAAAGCATCAATTCTTTGGCACTCAGCCTTCTTCATGGGCCAGTACTCACATCCATATATGACTATTGAGAAAACCATAGCTGTCACTATATGGAGCTTTGTCGGCAAAATGATGTCTCTGCTTTTTAAAACACTGTATCAGTTTGTCATAGCTTTTCTTCCAAGAAGCAAGTGCCTTTTAATTTCATGGCTGCAATCACTGTCCATAGTGATTTTGTAGCCCAAGAATATAAAAGCTGTGACTGTTTCCATTTTTCCCCTTCTATTTGCCATGAAGCGATGGGACCAGATGCCATGATCTTTATTTTTTGAGTGTTGAGCTTTAAGCCAACTTTTTCAGTCTCTTCTTTCACCTTCATCAAAAGACTCTTTAGTTCCCTTTAGCTTTCTGCCATAAGGGTGGTATCATCTGCATATCTGAACTTATTGATATTTCTCCCAGCAATCTTGATTCCAGCTTGTGCTTCATCCAGCCCAGCATTTTGCATGATTTACTCTGCATGTTAAGTTAAATAAGCAGGGTGACAATATACAACCTTGACGTACTCCTTTCCCAGTTTAGAACCAGTCAGTTGTTCCATGTCTGGTTCTAACTGTTGCTTCTTGACCTGCATGCAGGTTTCTCAGGAGACAGGTCAGGTGGTCTGGTATTCCCATTTCTTTCAGAGTTTTCCAGTTTGTTGTGATCCACAAAGTCAAAGGCTTCAGTGTAGTCAATGAAGCAGACTTAGATGTTTTTCTAGAATTCTTTGGCTTTTTCTATGATCCAGTGGACATTTACAATTTGATCTCTGGTTCCTCTGCCTTTTCTAAATCCAGCTTGTGCATCTGGAAGTTCTTGGTTCACATACTTTTGAAGCCTCACTTGAAGGATTTTGAGCATTACCTTGCTAGCATTTGAAATGAGTGCCTTTGTGTGGTAGTTTGAACATTGTTTGATATTGTCTGTCTTTGGGATTGTAATGAAAACTAACCTTTTCCAGTCACAAGTCCACTGCGAAGTTTTCCAAATTTGATGACATATTGTGTGCAGCACTTTAATGCATCATCTTTTATGCAAACTGGAAAAGAGGGTATATTCTTTCTCAGTGGCCCTTCATGTTTTAATAGATATGTATAAAGAATTGATGACCAAATGCATGCTGTAAGATACTCATTTTGCTCAAGAGAATTTTCTCCTTTATTGGCCATATTACTTGTCAATCACCAAGAAAAATTTTCTTGGCTGTACTATTTAACATGTTAAAAATAGTGCATTATATGAAATAAGCTTGCTTTCTACTGATTTTAGATTTCTTGCAAAAAAAGAGAGAAGGAGAGGACTGGATAGGGTTGAGGTTGTGGCGGGAATAGGCATGGATTAGTCATTTGGGGGCCAAGTGATGGATGCATGATAGTTCATTTTATTAATTTTTTATCGATTATTTGAAATCAATTAAAAGTTGAAAAAATATCCCATGGTTATGTATATGATATTGTTATTACATTGTATTTGAAAATCCTGTTTTATTCATTCTTTTGTTTTCTATAACCACTGTGAAATTTGAAACGACCTATTATAATCACTATGAAGAAGACAAAAATTGAGCTTTGTAGGATTTGTATAATACGAATGTCAAGTACTGTTTTACTGTTCTTGATCTTACTTTATTCTGGTTTTTAACATTAATGTGGTTAATTATATACTCAATGATCTTGCAAGCTTGTAGTGCTGAAAAGAATAACTTATGAATTCCATTTTTAAAAACCCAGCTGAATAAATAAAATATTCTGTTAAAATATAAAGCAAGTGGCAAAATCAGCTTATGAATGAATAAATCTAATGTTTTATGTACACATTTGATTAATTTTAATTTTTCATGGAAGTGTGCTTTACTCTTTTAATACTAAACTGGTATATGCAGAGGTGAAAAGCCCATGTTGTATATGTAGAAAGTAGTATTCCAAGCTAAATAGTACTCAGATTTTTTAAAGAAAAGTTTAAAAACATAGCCTATTGTTTATCTGAATTTAATGGATATATTTACAAAACTGACAGTTTTGGAGTTACAAGTGAAGAAGATTAAATACCCTTTTAGAAATTATATATCACCTAGAAACACTTATCTAATGCTCCTCTTAATAGTTTCATGTAAATCATGGTGGTATTTTATTTTATTTCATTTGTGTTTTTCTTTAGGGGATCCTAAGAAAAAACTCATATGTACAGTGTGCAATAAAAAGTGTTCTTCAGCTTCAAGCCTGCAGGAACATAGGAAGGTCAGTAAAATAAAGACTAATGTTCATCATAGTTAAGATCTTTAGTCATAGTGTCTGCCAGGAAACATATTAATTGCTTTATATATTGTGAAGACAGAGGTTTGTCATTAATTTTATTAGCTTAGCTGGTAAAGAATCTGCCTGCAGTGCAGACCTCAGTTCGATTCCTGGGTCAGGAAGATCCCCTGGAGGAGGGCATGGCAATCCACTCCAGTATTCTCGCCTGGAGCATCCCATAGACAGAGGAGCCTGGTGGGCTCCAGTCCATGGGGTCACAGAGTCGGAAACGACTAGGCGACTGGGCACATCCTGTACACTAAAAAGCAAGACTGATACACAGAGGAGCCAGCTCTTGCCAAAGAATATTGTGAGTTGTTTGCTGTTACTCAGAATAAGTAGAAACATTACTCCAATGCAGTATAGTGTCTGAGTCCTTCATTACAACACTTCATCCTGGTTTCATGCTTCACCAGTTGCTATTTGCTCAGGAAATATTATATATTTGAGGAAACCACAATATTTTTGTTTATTTATAATATACTCTACAGTGATGTTTAGCTTGAAATATATGTGTATTATATTTAAGTCTGGCAAAACAAAGACAAGAGCTCTGTTATTTTGAAGAGCTTAAAGTAATGCAGAAAAATGTCAGAGTGTGGTCAGCGGAAACAGATGATTGTGCAGTTGAGCCTTGCACAGCACAGGTCTGAGCTGTGCTGGCCCACTGGCAGCATTTTTCAGTTACACATACTCCAGTGCTGTAGTCAGGGCTTGGCTGAGTTTGCAGATGCGGAGGGCCCGCTGTAAGGTTACACAGTGTTCCCACTGAAAGGGGAGGTGAGGAGGCATGGGAGTCGGGGTGCAGTGGGTCTAACCCCCAGGCCCCTCTGTTGTTCAGTGGTCAACTGTATTAGGAGAAAAGAGTAATACATTTTGTAATAAACGTAACACAGTTTACCAAGTTACTATTTTAATATGAAAGTTAACCTGAAAAAAATGGCAGCTGTTAACCCTAACAGCATTAGCACTTGTTAATCAAATTTATGACAGAATAGAGTTAAAATAGAATTTAGACTTTTGTTCATATAATGGGAGAGTCCAAAAATTTATTTTATATATTACTATAACAAAGATCAAATGATTATTTCCTGATTTCACATATGATTTTTTCAGAATATCTATGAGCATATGATACTGTCTTTTAATCATTTAATACTAAAGAAGAGGAGATGGTACCAGTAGAAGTGACATTTTACATTATAGTTTATAAATTGAATTTTGTCTCTTTGTTTCTATATAGATATATTCCAAAATAACTTGACAGATCTTAAAATGCATATGATATTCAGTGCAATATCTTCAACCATTTAGGCTGTGGATTTAACCTCTAACACATAAGGTAGTTAAATTATTAAGATGTCTAGGGTTATATCCTGCATGTTCAGTGATTTTGATCTTCAGGGAGAAACAATGGAATGAGCAGTAGGCAGAGTGAGGACTGTGGATGTCACATTCCGTCACTGACCCTCCGTGTAGCCTTGGGCCTCTCGTTAAGTGTGACTTGGAACTGATCGGTGTTTTCCAGTTTCCTGAGTGCCATGAAACTACTTTGTTTATTCAGTTTCCAAGTGGTTATCTTATCAGGTTGTTTAAAAACAGAGAGTACTTGAGGAATTGACATATAATTCTCATTTGAGGGCCATTCTCTATCATTCCAAATTTAGCTTAAGTGCTACTGAAGGAAGCCCTGAAGCTACTTTCTTAAAGTTCAGTGCAGAAGCCAATACAGATACTGCTGCTTCTACGTCTCTCTTTCTCCCCATCACCCTTAACGCTTCTGAGGCAGAACCTAGTCCGAGACCAGAAGTGTAAAATCCAGCTGAATAGACGTTTTCTGAATGTCTTCATGGTTCTAGAATTCTTTGTTTTCTTTCCCTGATTTTAGAAAGTTGAAAATTAAGATATCTTACCAAAGTTAAGATTTTGCCAAGTAGAATATTTCAACAAAGTTGGTTGTGGGACATAATTCTGAAAAATGTCCTCTTCTCCATTTATATTCTTCATAACACAAAGAAAATTTCCCTGGGGAATATCTCTATAGACAGATTTAAATCCCACCTGGTGGTGGAATATAGTCTCCAAGTGGTCTCTGCAGAATGTTAGTAACTTGGTAGCTCAGTGTAGCTCTTTGTCCATCACAGCATCGCTCCTTTGACTTATTCTGAATCCACAGGCAGCTTCTACAGATTCCATTTTTGAGTCTATTCTTATCGTTGTTGCTCTTTAGTCGCTAAGTTGTGTCCTACTTTTGCAACCTCATGTACTGTAGCCCACCAGCCTCCTCTGTCCTGGCTTTTCTGAGGCAAGAATACTGAAGTGGACTGCCATTTCCTTCTCCAGGGAATCTTTCCAACCCAGGGGTCAAACCCTCATCCCTTGCATCTCTTGCATTGGCAGGCGGACTCTTTACCTCTGAACCAACAGGGAAGCCCCATTTTTATAGTTGGGTATGTCTAATAGCTACTAGAATTTGGTGCCGGTATTTCACCTTAACAGCAGACGATGATCTATGCATATGCCACATTTACATTATAGTCTAGACTCAGCATTCAAAAAACTAAGGTCATGGCATCCAGTCCTATTACTTCATGGCAAATAGATAGGAAAAAAGTGGAAACATTGATAGCTTTTATATTCTTGGGCTCCAAAATCACTGAAGATGGTGACTGCAGCCACGAAATTAAAAGATGCTTGCTTCTTGGAAGAAAAGCTATGACAAACCTGAGTTCAGTCACTCAGTCATGTATGACTCTTTGCAACCCCATGGACTGCAGCACGCTAGGCTTCCCTGTCCATCACCAAATTTGCTCAAACTCATGTCCATTGAGTCGGTGATGCCATCCCACAATCTCATCCTTTGTTGTCCACTTCTCCCCCTGCCTTCAATCTTTCCCAGCATCAGGGTCTTTAAAAAGAGTCAACACTTTGCATCAGGTGGCCAAAGTTTTGTAGTTTTCAGTTTTAGCATCAGTCCTTCCAATGAATATTCAGGACTGATTTCATTTAGGATTGACTGGTTGGATCTCCTTGCAGACCTACAGACCCTCAGGAGTCCTCTCCAACTCCAGAGTTCAAAAGCATCAATTCTTCGGTGCTCAGCTTTCTTTGTAGTCCAACTCTCACAAGTCATCCATACATGACTACTGGAAAAACCATAGCATTGACCGGACGGACCTTTGTCAGCAAAGTAATGTCTCTGCTTTTTAATATGCTGTCTAGTTAGTCATAACGTTTCTTCCAAGGAGCAAGTGTCTTTTAATTTCATGGCTGCTGTCACCATCTGCAGTGATTTTGGAGCTCCAAAAAATAAAGTCTGTCACTGTTTCCCCATCTATTTGCCATGAAGTGATGGGACCAGATGCCATGATCTTAGTTTTCTGAATGTTGAGTTTTAAGCCTGGTTTTTCACTCTTCTCTTTCACTTTCATCAAGAGGCTTTTTAGTTCTTCTTCACTTTCTGCCATAAGGGTGATGTCATCTGCATATCTGAGGTTATTGATATTTCTCCCGGCAATCTCGATTCCAGCTTGTGCTTCTTCCAGCCCAGTGTTTCTCATGATGTATTCTGCATATAAGTTAAATAAACAGGGTGACAATAGACAGCCTTGGTGTACTGCTTTCCTATTTGGAACCAGTCTGTTGTTCCATGTCCAGTTCTAACTGTTGCTTCCTGACCTGCATACATGTTTCTCAGGAGGCAGGTAAGGTGGTCTGGCATTCCCATCTCTTTCAGAATTTTCCACAGTTTATTGTGATCCACACGGTCAAAGGCTTTGGCATAATCAATAAAGCAGTAGTAGATGTTTTTCTGGAACTCTCTTGCTTTTTTGGTGACCCAATGAATGTGGGCAATTTGATCTCTGGTTCTAGCTTGAACATCTGAAAGTTCATGGTTCACGTATTGCTGAAGCCTGCCTTGGAGAATTTTGAGCATTACTGTCCTAGGTGTGAGATAAGTGCAGTTGTGTAGTAGTTTGAGCATTCTTTGGCATTGCCTTTCTTTGGGATTGGAATGAAAACTGACCTTTTCCAGTCCTGTGACCACTGCTGAGTTGTGCAAATTTGCTGGCATATTGAGTGCAGCACTTTCACACCACATCTTTTAGAATTTGAAATAGCTCAACTGGAATTCCATCACCTCCACTAGCTTTGTTAGTAGTGATGCTTCCTAAGGCCCACTTGACTTCACATTCCAGGATGTCTGGCTCTAGGTGAGTGATCATACCATTGTGATTATCTGGGTCATGAAGATCTTTTTCGTACAGTTCTGTGTATTCTTGCCACTTCTTCATATCTTCTGCTTTTGTTAAATCCATACCATTTCCATTTCTGTCCTTTATTGTGCCCATCTTTGCATGAAATGTTCCTTTGGTATCTCTAATTTTCCTGAAGAGATCTCTAGTCTTTCCCAGTCTGTTATTTTCCTGTATTTCTTTGCATTGATCACTGAGGAAGGCTTTCTTATCTCTCCTTGCTGTTCTTTGGAACTCTGCATTCAAATGGGTACATCTTTCCTTTTCTCCTTTGCCTTTCTCTTCTCTTCTTTTCTCAGCTATTTGTAAGGCCTCCTCAGACAGCCATTTTGCCTTTTTGCATTTCTTTTTCTTGGGGATGGTCTTGATCACTGCCTCCTGTACAGGGTCATGAACCTCTGTCCATAGTTCATCAGGCACTCTGTCTATCACATGTAACCCCTTGAATCTGTTTGTCATTTCTCCTGTATAATCATAAGGGATTTGATTTAGGTCACCTGAATGGTCTAACGGTTTTCCCTACTTTCTTCAATTTAAGTCTGAATTTGGCAATAAGGAGTTTGTGATCTGAGCCACTGTCAGCTCCCAGTCTTGTTTTTGCTGACTGTATAGAGCTTCTCCTTCTTTGGCTGCAAAGAATATAACCAGTCTGATTTCAGCAAACATAGCATATTAAAATAGGGGAGATATCACTTTGCCGACAAAGGTCCTTACAGTAATATCTATCGTTTTACCAGTAGTCTTGTACAGATGAGAGTGTTGGACAGTAAAGAATGGTGAGCATTGAAGAATTGATGTTTTCAAACTGTGGTTTGTGGAGAAGAGTCTTGAGAGTCCCTTGGACTGCAAAGAGATCAGACCTGTCAGTCATGGAAGAAATCAACCTTGACTATTGGAAGAACTGACTTTGTGTCTGAAACTCTAGTACTTTCTCCACCTGATGCCAAGAGCTGACTCACTGGAAAAGACACGGATACTGGGTAGATGGAGGGCAGGAGGAGAAGAGGGTGACAGAGGAGGAGATGGTTGGATGACAGAAGTGACTCACTGGACATGAGTTCCAGCAAACTCCGGGAGATAGTGAAGGATAGGGAAGCCTGGCCTGCTACAGTTCATGGGGTCATGAAAAGCTGGACACGACTTTGACTGAACAACAACTAGACTAATACCTTGTATTACTATGTGCTGTCCTGTATTACAATAAGATATAGTATGATCCTTCTTGGAACTTATTTAATTTGGGACATCAGATTATGAGTTATTATTCTCCATATCAATTTAGTAAGCTATAAACATTTTATTTTAAAATGCTTTACTTAGCATTAGGCATAATTAATATCATTGTCACTTTAAATCTGTTCTATTAAACTTTTATAGGAGTTTTGAAAATAGCTTTGGTTGAGTTTTCCATTATGAATAAGAGAGTCAACACATAAGTGCTTTCATGTAAATATTGTATTTTATAATTTTGGAAATATCAAGGTTCAGTTCAGCCCTTAAAAATGTTTCATGTTTTGAAAGCCGTGAGAGTTAAGTAAACAAGTATATTTTGAAGTAATTTAAGAGCTGCCATTTTTGTATGGATAAATAATTTAAAATTTGTATATACTAATATGAATAGAATATTGAAAATTAAAATAAACTAAATATGTTTTCATTTATGTATGTCTCAGAAGGCATGTCATGATTTTGTAGCTTGTTATTATAAAAGATATATGTTACAGAGTTTAAGAATATGAATCTGTTCTTACTATCTTTAATTAAACATTACACTTCGTATCATTGCTGTGAGGATCTTTGATGGTTGAAGATGAACCCTTTAAAATCTCTTAGACTGAAGGCTTCCCTTCTGTACTGTGTGGTCCTTGCCTTCTGAGTACTTGTGTACAAGTCCACACTGTTTTCGGAGGAACCATAGGACTCTGGACCCTGTACATCTCCCTTCAAGGTTAGAAGCCACCGCATATAGGCAAGGATCTAAGTCAGGGTCTAGTGGAATGATGTCATCCTGCTCCGTCTTGTTGTTTTATCTTTTCTCCGCTTTTCCCATTTCTGTTCACTGACTCGCCAAGAATCAGACCCAACAGAAGCAGAAGGCTGATGGCAGCCTCAGACCGCGGTGTGGTTGGGTATAGGATTAAGGCTCACACCACAGACTAGGGGCCTGTCAGCCTTGTGCCAGCTTCTGTTTCCCTTCCTGTGCCGTCTCCTGCATGTCCCTGTCTTGAGTTCTTCTGTGGTCACTTAGGTCAAGGGAGCTGTTTTCCAGTCCTCCTCTCTTTAGTCATTGCTGTACCAATTCAGGGTCTTCTCTTATGAGTTTTACTCTGTAGTGGCCCTTAGATATTCTGCAAGGATAGCCAGAATATCCTGCAGAGGGGCCAGTGCTTGTACGGGGTTTAGTTTTGTGAGCTCTACCTTGAATGAGTTTGAAACAAAAACATGACTTCACCAAGATGATTTTTCAGTCTTCAGCAAAACAGTAGGATGCTCGTCTTCATTAGGATGATCAACAGTTCTAATATAAGGCTGCTTGCAGCACATTGCTCTTTTTACATAGTTATGATAACAAATGAAACTTCTACTTTTCGTACTGCCTATCCAGTTTTTCTAATTTAGTATCTGGGAGAGAAAGAGCTGAACTTAGTTGTAACATTTATTTAGCTGGTTGATTGCTAAAGTTATGCCCCTTATATATATATATTTTTGATGAAACTCATAAAAACTAATAAAACATGAAGATTTTTAGCCTCCTGTCCTGTGGGAGTATTGTTGTGAGCTACACTCAAGTTTTCAGAATCATATCTTTGTCTTTCATGGTAATTAATATTTAGATCTTTACTACATATGTTTAAGTTTTAAGTAGTGTTGACTACTGGAAAGGGAATATTTTTAGTGGCAAGTTTTTCCATTCCATTTCCATATCCATTCCAAATATGCCAAATTTTGGCATATTTCCAAGTCTAAATTTGTATATAACAGATTTAATATATATTAGGTATAATTTTTTGCAGAGTATAAACTTTTTATGTACTTCAGAAATAGGTCATCTGTTTTACATATTTAAGTACCATACAGTTTTACGTTTTTTAATGATCATGTTCTACTAGGTAACTTATGTTCATTGCATTTTCAGTTTCTTATATAGGGTAATATGAACAAATCAGGGCTGAATTATAATGCACAGTTTAAATATTGTAATGGCAACTGTCCACATGTTTATACTTGAGTGCTATACAATTTTGTGGCTCGGCCAGTTGAGTTAACTGTTAATTTAACCTTTTGCAGATTCATGAGATATTTGATTGTCAAGAATGTATGAAGAAATTCATTTCAGCAAATCAGCTAAAGCGTCATATGATCACCCATTCAGGTAAAACACATATTTTCCCATTTTTATTGAAATCAGTACAAAAGCTTCACCTTGTCATTTTTAGGAGCTCTGAGAGGGGGATAATCAGGAGACCTGGCTATTAGTTCTGGCTTGGCCACTGACTTACCATGTAATTCTGAACAAGTTACTTAACTTCTCTAGACCTTAGTTTATTTCTGAAGCAAATGTGGTTGGACTAAATGAAATGAAAAATCTTCAGATTTATCATTTAATTTGTTATGTACTCCTGCGACTGAAGCTGAAACTCCAATACTTTGCCCACCTAATGCAAAGAGCTGACTCACTGGAAAAGACCCTGATTCTGGGAAAGATTGAAGGTGGGAGGAGAAGGGGACAACAGAGGATGAGATGGTTGGATGGCATCACCAACTCAATGGACATGAGTTTGAGCAACCTCCGGGAGATGGTGAAGGATAGGGAAGCCTGGCGTGCTGCAGTCCATGGGGTCGCAGAGCATCGGACATGACTGAGCGACTGAACAGCAGCAACAAACCCTCCTTGAGCCTTAGTCTCTGTGTTCTTCATCTGTGTAAAGGTGTCCTACCTTTCAGAATTGCTGTGAAGGTTAAATGAGGTCATCCACGTACCCTGCTAGCAGAGTGTGTGACGTTTAGCAGGGATTCAATAATTAGAATCCCAACATTTCTAGATATATTCACATTGTAACTGCTGCTGCTGCTAAGTCACTTCAGTCGTGTCCGACTCTGTGCAGCCCCATAGACGGCAGCCCACTAGGCTCCCCCGTCCCTGGGATTCTCCAGGCAAGAACACTGGAGTGGGTTGCCATTTCCTTCTCCAGCGCATGAAAGTGAAAAGTGAAAGTGAAGTTGCTCAGTCGTGTCCAACTCTTAGCGACCCCATGGACTGCAGCCCACCAGGCTTCTCTGTCCATGGGATTCTCCAGGCAAGAGTACTGGAGTGTGGTGCCATTGCCTTCTCCTACGTTGTAACTAAGGTACAAATAGATGTTAATGAGAAATTTACAAATGAATTTTGAGAATCTTAAGTTTTCAAAGTTGTAATTTCATTTTAAGCAGCTTTGAATGATAGGTCTGTTATACTGACTAAAAACAACCAGCTCTGAAAGTAACTTTTGCTTAATGAAGTCTCTGAAGTTTAGAATATCTGTACTTTGAGGCCACTGAAGTCAGGATGTTTTTGAATGGCCACTTTATCTGGAGACAGACACATATTTTTGGCAAATGAAAATAGAAGATCAAAAACCAGTGGCCTTCAGATACGCTTTGCTTGAAAAATCTGATTGTCAACATTACATGGATTTTGTATACACATGGATTTTGCACAACAACCTACGTGTGTAATTCCTGCTGAGATTGGAAGCTTGGCCTCACGGGCCCCTTGGCTGTGCAGGAGGCAGGTCTGTCCTTTACCTCAATGTCTGTCAGACCACTTGCCCTTCGTGTTCGGAGTTGTAACCCTGACTTCAGCTCATACCAATCAGCAGGGTTTTCATCTGGAAGTAGAATTTCTTCCTTGAATTAAAACTTCATCTTCATATCTAAGCTACTTTATACATTTAGTTGGCAGACTATGTCAGTAAAAGAGCAAGCTCATGTTCTGTGAGTTTTGAGTTGGCTCACATATCTAATGGATTGGGTAATAGACTTTTTTCCAGTTGTTTGAATGATATTTTTGTTGACTTGTCTGTAAGAATTAATAATGCAAGGAAGGCTGTTTCCCTTTTTGTCCTTTACCTGTATAGATATGAGATTGTTTCCACTCATTTTTTTAACAGAAAAACGACCCTATAATTGTGAGATTTGTAATAAATCTTTCAAGAGGCTTGACCAAGTGGGTGCCCACAAAGTGATACACAGTGAAGATAAACCTTACAAGTGCAAGCTCTGTGGAAAGGGATTTGCTCACAGAAATGTTTACAAGAATCACAAGAAGGTAAAAAGCCTGTTAATACTGTTATAAATATATTTGCTGATTGGTCGATAAAATTATCAGTTGTTTATCTTTTAAAGAAGTTTTTGGATATCTGAGGCATATCTGAGGCTGTACATATGAAATAATTGGAAAATATTTTGCTTCTGCTTTCTAACCACTCAGGCCATCACCACTGTGGTTTTGTATCTGTCTAATTCTCTTCTGAAATTATTCTAACAAGCAAAGTGTTATCCAGTGTTTTCCAGCATTGTAATAATTGCAAAATCTTCTCTTCCTTCTTTCTTTAAAGTTTGACATTCTTGTTCATATTACCATTTGGAAATCCTCTTTGTCTTTGGCGCCATTTTATCAACTTTGCTAGGTTTTCTGCCAATTTCTCTGAACCTGTCTTTGGTCTCTGAGTTCCCAAGGGATTATCCTGGATGCTTTGGCTGTAGGCTTATTCTGTGTCCTCTATGTCAACTACATCTATTAATTATGATGTAAACTCTGTACTTATGAATTCCAAATGATTTATTTTGTTAATCTCAAGCTTTAGACTCCCACTTATCACTACTTGTTTGATATATAACTGGGCATCTTTTTGACCTAATGAATGTAGCATGCTCCGGATAATGGTTTCCCTGGTGGCTCAGTGGTGAAGAATCTGCCTGCAATGCAGGAGCCCTGGGTTCAATCCCTGGGTCGGGAAGATCCCCTGGAGAAGGAAATGGCAACCCACTCCAGTATTCTTGCCTGGAGAACTCCATGGAAAGAGGAGCCTGGCGGGCTGTATTCCATAGGGTCGCAAAGAATCTGACACAATTGAGTGACTAACACACATGGGTAACTTCACTTTTGCAAGTGTCTGTTAATTTCTGTTAATGACAAAAGCATGTATTTATCTCTATCTCTTTCTTTAATTTTAACCCCGTTTTAGAATTAGTAGCTAATTCTTAAAGATTCTGCCCTCTCCATTGTCTTACCACCTTCATAATCATTGCTTTACCATTTTGACATCCTGGTCCTGTCTCATTTTCATCACTTTAATAGCCATTTCATTCAGCTTCTTGTTATTTAATCACTTCCTTCTTATTCAGAGAACTAGATGAATCGTCCCAGATCACAGCTCTATCACTCTGTACTCTTAATATTATAAGTAGATTTCCAGCACTTATGTACAGTCTGTCTTCTTTTCCCTGTCACTCGGGGTTCTCTGCACCATGATCCCGGCTTCCTTTTCCAGCTTTTTGTTCTCCTGTTTTCTGCACGAGCCATATCAATGCAGTATGACCTCTGTAGCTTCTCAGCATGATCTCCCTAGCTTCCCCATTCCCTCCTTTGTAGTAAAACTCTCAAGTTATAATCTCTTATTTCATCTATTGATTTTTGTTTGCATTTCCTACACTTTACCATTACTCAAGTTCTTGTTTCAGAATGTTAGTTTTATCTAATCTGTTTTCTGGAGATAGTAAATAGTGTTTGAATTGAACTCAGGAAATCTGTGCAAAGATAGTCAACATCTTAGAAATGTGTGTTTAAATTTGTGATGTGATAAACACTTTTTTATTAATTTTGGTTGACATATTTCATGATGGTATTAAGCACCAGACATATATGTTTTCAAAGAACTTCTTTTTATTTGCAATATTCCATTGTAATTATAGTTATTTTAGTATTTATTGGGACTTTCCAAACATATAATTTTATCTGTTTTGAAATCATTTAAGAAGTTATGATATCAATTTCAGCTTCAGTCTAAAAAGAAAAAAGGCAAATTAATGAAAGAATAAATAGGGTTGATTGATAGTGTACCAAATCATCTCTGCCTAATTTCTTGCTGACTGCCCTTATGTTTAACTCAAGCGTTGTATGTTCAGAGGCAGGACCACATTCATTACTGCTGCTTTGGAATTACATGCCTATTAAAAATTATCTGGCAAGTTTCCTGCTCAGTCTCTGGAACCCTCTTGTTGCTTTCTTTGATGAATCTGATCTCCCCACATGGACAAGTTTTTCACAGTTCGGCTTGTATTGTCTGCCATATGGGAATTTGGCACAGTGTCTTTGTACCATCTCTCACACTTTTAGCCATAAATCATATGAAAGTAGTCATGATGTCTTGGGAAGGATAGAAGCAATGATGCCTGTAATTTCCAAAGTGAAAAGCACATTCGGTCCTTCTGCTGTGGACAGTGAGCTTCTCACTGTGTTAGGATCCTAGCGTGTATTCGGTATATGGACAGTGTGCTTTTCACTGTGTTAGGATCCTAGCATGTATTTGGTATGTGGACAGTGAGCTTCTCACTGTGTTAGGATCCTGGCATGTATTTGGTATGTGGACAGTGAGCTTCTCACTGTGTTAGGATCCTAGCGTGTATTTGGTATGTGGACAGTGAGCTTCTCACTGTGTTAGGATCCTAGCGTGTATTTGGTATGTGGACAGTGAGCTTCTCACTGTGTTAGGATCCTAGCATGTATTTGGTATGTGGACAGTGAGCTTCTCACTGTGTTACCATCCTAACATGTACTGGTATGTGGACAGTGAGCTTCTCACTGTGTTATGATCGTAGCGTGTATTCGGTATGTGAATACTGTGCTTCTCACTGTGTTACCATCCTAACATGTACTGGTATGTGGACAATGTGCTTCTCACTGTGTTAACCATCTTAGCATGTACTGGTATGTGGACAATGTGCTTAGCACTGTGTTAGGATCCTAGCATGTATTTGGTATGTGGACAGTGAGCTTCTCACTGTGTTAATGATCCTAGCGTGTATTTGGTATGTGGACAGTGAGCCTCTCACTGTGTTAGGATCCTAGCATGTATGTGGTATGTGGACAGTTGTGTTTCTCACCGTGTTGTGACCCTAGCATGTATTCAGTATGTAGACAATGCGCTTCTCACTGTGTTAGGATCCTAGCATGTATTTGGTATGTGGACAGCGTGCTTCTCACTGTGTTATAATCCTAGTGTGTATTTGGTATGTGGACAGTTGTGTTTCTCACTGTGTTATAATCCTAGCATGTATTTGGTATGTGGACAGTTGTGTTTCTCACCATGTTGTGACCCTAGTGTGTATTTGGTATGTGGACAATGCGCTTCTCACTGTGTTACGATCCTAGCATGTATTTGGTATGTGGACAATGCGCTTCTCACTGTGTTACAATCCTAGCATACATTTGGTATGTGGACAGTTGTGTTTCTCACTGTATTGTGACCCTAGCGTGTATTTTGTATGTGGACAGTTGTGCTTCTCACCATGTTGTGACCCTAGCGTGTATTTGGTATGGTTACATGAAAATGTCTAAAATAGTTATCAAAAGTTATGGTGAAAGAAGCAAATCAACTTTTTCTCCCATCATTATTCACTAATGGTCAGTTACAAAAATAAAAAGTAAAAATATGCAAGGAAAGCAGGAAAAAAGTCATTAAAAGACCAGTCTTCATCTTGTAACGTGACCAAAGTTGGTTATTTTAAATGAATTATTCTTTGGGGTTTTGATTATGTAACTTGTGCATTTTTATTATAGCTATTTGATTTAATTGGGGTCGATTCTTTAGATTTGCATGAAAAGGAAATATTTCATTATGATTATGACAATATGGCATGCAGTTTCGAAGGAATGATTTTTTTTAAGGGGCGATGAGTGATGGGGAATGTTGGGCATTGAGAGACTGCTTTTTCTGTTTTAAGATAGGTTTTATTTTTATTTTGTATCAGATTAGCAGTGAGCTTTTAGGAGATATGCATTTGTTTATTTTTGGCTGCATCGTGTCTTAGTTGCGGCAGGTGGAATCTTTTGTTCTTATGTACTGGTTTCTCTCTAGTTGTGGCAAGGGTTTAATTGCCCTGTGTCTTAGTTTTGCAACCAGGGATTGAGCTCATGTCCTTGCATTGGAAGGCGGGCTCTTCACCACTAGACCATCAGGGAAGTTCTGAAGGAGTGATTTCTGTTTCTAAATCTTAGTTACTTGTTCCATCATCTTGTTGGACTTCCCTGGTAGCTCAGATGGCAAAGAATCTGCCTACAGTGCAGGAGAGCTGGGTTTGGTCCCCGGATCAGGAAGATTCCCTGGAGAAGGGAATCACCATGCACTCCAGTATCCTTGCCTGGAGAATCCCAGGACAGAGGAGCCTGATGGGCTACAAGTCCATAGAGTCGCAAAGAGACGGACACATTATCTTGCCAGTTATACAAGCTCAGTAGGTCAGAATTAGAGTTTCTTTCCCCTAATCCTCTATGACAATCACTTAACCTTATTACAAGGTTAAATGAATTTTTTTGGGTCTGCCTAAAATTAAGATTGTTTATCTGGACCCAACTATATTCTGTAACTCTTTAAATCACAATTGGACAGACGTCTCAGAACCGCAGGAAACAGAAACTAGTTATTCTTCAGCCTCTGTTTATTCCCTGCCACAGTTAATGCAGATCCAAATTGAGATATGTGTACAGTTCTCTCCTCCTGTGGCAGGCGGCGTGTCTAGGTGGACTGCACCGTCTTGGCCCTGGAGCTGGCACCACTTGCTTGATGATGGGAATGAGTACAGAGCGGTTTTGTCCTAATTAAGTTCATAAACGAGCTCTCTGGGGGGCAGAGCTGCATCTATTCAGATAAAAGACCTTTGTTCCTGACACTTTACATAAGCTTCCAGGGATGAACACTAGAGGCCTCCGAAGGATTCTGGTCACAAACCTCTCTGAAAATAATTCCATTGGGCATCTTATATTAACATCTCGTCCTGTGATTTCCCAGTTCTGGGCCGTGACTACTTTGTGGGTCTTGAAATAATTTACTGGGTCATCAATAGCCATTAAAAAAATAGAATAGAAAATACAAGAATAAGGGTCATTTAATGAGGTAATACACGAGTGTGTGAGTAGCTGTATATATGTATATCTTTTTGATATAAAGATTATATTTTTGGTCATAATCAAACAGTTTGAAAAACTCTGCAAGTGATACTTTGCTCAGGTGATATTTTATTAAACCTTTCAAAAAAAGGATAAGTCTC